CGGCTTGAGTCTGGGGCTAAAAATTGGATTGGAGGCTCAGAATTCGTTTGTTTTGAGCCCAAACTAAGCTGTGAACTCAGGCGCATTATCAAACAATCGGAGTAAAGCGAGAAAATAAAGTAAGTATAACAGCACTTCATCATATTCTAGCAAACGACATGCTGTCAGTCAGTGGAGAATCTTGCGATTTTGGCTGGAGATGAAACGGCCGAGAAGGATCCGGAGGTTGCGGATTTGTTGGGTTTTGCTCGGGCAGTTGCCCACTCAGTACAGTCCTTTCCAACAGAACAGCGACCGCTTGTACGACTGGCGATTATGGAATGTATTGCCGATATGCGAAAGACATTTACTTTCGATCAGGCCGCACTAGGAGAAGCCGATAATGTTGTGGTTGATGATGATGATGATGATGATGATGATGTGCTAATTTCCGAATGAATTTTATCCTCTTATCTGTTGATATGACTTTTAAAATCAATGATTTCATCCTTTTTTTTTGAGGGGACTAACCTTGAGGGACCCAATCTGCTGCTCCTTTCATTCGTATCCATGGTAAATTGGTACTTTCGCGTTACGCTAGAAAGCTAAGACCACTACTAGCTTATTCCTTATAGCAAGCATTTTTAATTATTTTCGTTTCATGAAAATTTTTAGACTAAAATGTGGAACTTTTTAAGCTTTTATAGATGGAAGCATTGTTGTAAGTGATATTAACAGTTTGTCCCTCTCAATTTTACCAACTTTTGTGTAGATAAATTTTTTTTTTATATATTTTTAGGCAAAAGTTTGGGGAAAGGAGAAAGAGAACGATGAGAACTGGAGATTTTTTTTTTCAGCTTTTTACAGAATGTTGTGACTTTCCGACATTTGCTTTTCTTTTGTGCTTTACAAAGGTTCCGTACACGAAAATTTAATTTGAAAAACAACCATTGTACATTACTAACTCGATTCATAGCTTTTGCTGATTTTTATCGTGGCGAACTTTTTTGAAAAACTTTCTCTTTTTTGCAGTTTTTTCATGATGCTTATTGATATTATTAAAAATAATGTTGCTGAAATGCTCAAACATACCAGA